GCTCGAGCTGTTGGGCTCGGGGCGTGTAGGCGCTGCAGGGCCGCCGGGCGTCCCGCGGGGCCCGACGTGTCGCTGGTGCGTCGAGGGGGGCCCCTCGCCTCGGGGCGCGCGATGGCGCAGCCAGACGTGGTGGTGGTCGGCGGCGGCATCGCGGGCCTCACGGTGGCACTGTCGGCCGCCGAGGCGGGGCTGAGGGTTGTGGTGCTGGAGCGGCAGCCGAGACTGGGCGGCCGCGCCCGGGGCTGGAAGGACCCGACGACGGGGGACCCGGTCTCCATCGGCCCGCACGTGGTCACGGATCCGGACTACCTGCACTTCTTCAAGCTGCTGAGGCGGATAGGGACGTTCGACAAGCTCGCGTGGCAGCCGCCTGGGCACTTCATGACGTGGATGGAGGGCGAGCGCGAGATCTCGATCGATCAGCCGACGTTCCTGCCGGCGCCCTTCAGCTGGCTTCCCGCGCTTTATAAGGACCCGCTCCTGAAACTCCGCGATGTCCACGCGAGCCTCCCCGTGATCGCCTTCACTCTCAAGTGCAGCGAGGAGGAGCTTCTCGCGCTCGACGGGGAGTCTGGGCTGGACTTCCTCCGACGCTTCGAGGTCACGGAGAACATGATCGACCACTTCTGGCGTTTCGCCTGTCACGCCATTTGCAATGTGCCGCTCGAAGAGGTCTCCTCGGTTGCAACTCCTGGGAGGTCAAGTTCAGCGTCGGGGCTGGTATATACATATCGCGGTCGAGAACCGGCTTGCTCTGGCCCGATCCTGCCTGAGATGTCCCAGCCCTGCTTAATCTGGCTTCACGCGAGACCTGGTCTGGGAGGAGGAGGAGGGGGAGGAGGAGGAGGAGGAGGAGGAGGAGGAGGAGGAGGAGGAGGAGGAGGAGGAGGAGGAGGAGGAGGAGGAGGAGGAGGAGGAGGAGGATGAGGAGGAGGAGGAGGGGAGGAGGAGGAGGAGGAGGAGGAGGAGGAGGAGGAGGAGGAGGAGGAGGAGGAGGAGGAGGAGGCTGCTCGCCGTTGAGCGTCCCCGCGAAAAAACTCACGGCAGCTGCCCCCTCAGGTCTCTGCCTGCGCCCTGATCCGTTTCATGCAGCGGCTCGTCGGCACCTCGCCCAGGCTGGCGCGCATTGGCTTCGCCAACTGCGGCCTGGGGGACCTGCTGACCCCGGCCAAGGAGCGGCTCGAGGAGCTGGGGGCCGAGGTGCGGCTTCGCACGGAGGTCTTGGGCTTCGAGGGCGACGACGAGGTCTCTTCGGGGTGGGGTCGGGGGGGGGGGCTGGTGCCAGCTTGTGTCTTGACCTTCTGGCACGCCCTTGTCAGTACTGGGCTTGATGATTGTGCGTGAATGCGTGTGTGTAATTCTGTGAGTGTGTCTGTGTGGACCCTCGTTTGTCTGCGGCCTCGCTCCTCCTCGTCCCGCCTTTCTGGTTCGCCACTGTGCCTCATCCTGCCTGCACTGCGCACCGCCCCGGTTCCGTTCCACCGCTCTTTTTGTCTCCCCGCCACCCCTTCTCCGCTGCTCCCTTCGCGCCAGTTCCCCCGCAAGTGATGCTGTCAATCCCCTGCGGATCCAGTGTTCCCACGCCCTGTGATCTGGGCCGGCCGCGCGCGTCTCTTCGCCGACTTTCTACGCCGCGGCGCTGCGCGCGTGGCCGCGAGTGTGTGTGTGTGTGTGTGTGTGCGTGCGTGCGTGCGTGCGTGCGTGCGTGCGTGCGTGCGTGTGCGTGCCTGGCGGTGCCCCCTGGAGGGCTGCTGCGGCCCCTGGCCCTGCGGCCGGGCCTCCCCGCAGGTCCCACTCGTGCGTCAGGGATCTGGAGAACGGGCTGGCCGCACTGCTCGGGGCGCCCCGCCCCGCACATGCCTCGCGTCTGGGCTGCGTCCTTCCGCCTCGGCCAGCATGCCTTTGCAAGCACCCAGGTGCGCTCACGCTGCCCTCCTGCGCATGCCTCGCCTTTCCCCTCCCGTCTCGTTCGCTCCTCGTTCTCTGCGCGCCCGCTCCTCCACGGGGTCCTGGGCGTGGCCGTCCCCGCGGGCAGAAGGGGTGGCCGCACCTCTCCTTCTGGCAGGTCTTCGGCGGACTTCTTGGCGACCCCGCGGGCCTGCCGGTGCTGCTGCCTCTTCGTGGCAGCTCTCGGCGGTGCCCGCGCCGCAAGCGCTGGCCTTCGGCCTCCGTGTGCCTCGTCCTGCCCTTCGGCCAGTCGTCTGGCCACGGCGTCGCTGTCGTTTCCACTGTGCCCCCCTCTCTTTTGCCCCCCTGGCATGTCGCTTCCACGCCAGTCGGCTCCCTGCTCACCTCGTCGACGACCGCGCCACCGGGCGCCGCCCCGCCGACCTGTACATCCCGAGCTGGCGCCTGGGCGTGCCTGCCGCTTTCGATTTCGCGGCCGCCCGGGGCATGGCTTTCCAAGGGGTTGGGAGCGCCGCCGGGGTGTGCGAGGCTTTCAGCTCGCTGAGGGGCAGCGAACGCGATCTGTGTTTTTTGGGGCGACGGAGGAGGAGGAGGTAATGCTCGCATGGTAAGAGCAAACCTAAGCAGCCCAATCGTCGGTAAGAGTCAAGAGCAAACCTGGGGTCCGAACTTGTCGCGAATGGGTGTCGTAAGGATTGCTATTGACGGATCAAGCGCGCCAGCTGAGCCTATTGGGATCTGGCCCTGGAAACAACGCTGCCCCCCAAGCGACCTCCAATACGAGGTGGTGAAGCCACCTCGACACAGAGGCGACAACAGGGCTTGCTCTTCATCCCCTAGGTCGCAGAGCCAACGGGTGGCTGGGGCCCGACGGGGGCTGCGACGCTCCGTCGCCTGGCGAGGGCCAGCGACGCGCGCCTGGGCGAGGAGCCAGGCCCTGGGGCGACTCGCCTTTTCCGGTAGCTGTCGGCGGCCATCCGGAGGGCGTCCGCCCGCGCCATCCCTCGGCGGCAGGTGGAGGAGGCCCCTGCTTCAGGAACAGTCGCAGCGGCCAGGGACGTCCTGGCTGTGGAAGATCCTTCCCCCTCCTTTCCCCTTCCGCCCGGTGTGTCTCTCCCGTCGAGATGGAAGCTGGCAGTTGTCTTGATGCGCTGATGCACTGGTGTGCTCCTCGGCCCGCCTCTTTTCTTGCCTTGACCCTGGCCCCCGGCTCCTCCGTCTTCCCTCTCCTCTCCCCTCCACAATTATTCAATATGAATACTACTCTCCCTCTTCCCCTGATGACGGTTTGAAAGTGGCCGACCCCCCCCCCCGCGTACTGTTTTTTACACACAGGTTTCCCGGAGTTGGGTTTTCGCTTGCATTTTTTTGTCCAAAATGCTGCTCTCGCTGAGGCGCCGGCCTCATTTTCGGGCCCCGCTCGTTCCGAATCGTGCTCCCGCTGCAGCGCTGGCATCATTTTCGTGCTTCCGCTCGTTCCGAATCGTGCTCCCGCTGCAGTGCTGGCCTCATTTCCGCGCTTCCGCTCGTTTCGGCTCGTGCTCCCGCTGCAGCGCTGGCGTCATTTCCCGTGCCTTGCCACGGCATGCAATGCAATGCTAGGTTGATATTACGCTTTGCGGTGCTCTTCTACGCCTTGCCATGCCGTGTTCTACAATGCATCGCGTACCCTTTCGGGATCATTGCCCTGCTCGAAATCCGAGTGAGCGAGTAGAGAGAGGATCTGCGCCATGGTAAGGGAAGGGAGGGAGGGGTAGGCTGTAAGATATGACGCGAGCGCACCTAGCTTGTCCTTCTCCTCCTCCCCCTCCTCCCTCCTCCCTCACATTTCCTCCTCCTCCTCCTCCTCCCTCCTCCCCCTCCCTCCTCCTTCTCTTCCTCCCTCCTCCCTCCCCCCTCCTTCTCCTTCTTCTCCTCCTTCTCCTCCCCCTTCCCCTCCCTCCTCCCTCCTCCCTTTTTGGCGCCACCATGCCTCCTCCCTTCTCCCCCTCCTTCTCCTCCCCCTCCTCCCCCAGGGTATGATGTTGCCTGGCTGTGCTGGAGTTGCACAGCAAGAGCATGTGGAGCTCAGGCTGCAGCTTTTTGGCCCTTTCCCTTGATCTGTGGCATGCTCTTTGCTGGAGTCGGCAGTGCGGTGACGCCGCCTGTCTCACGCAAGGCCGTCGGGGTCTCGTGCGGACGGGTCTCTCACATCAGGGCTGGACCTAAACGCTGTTTTGCTGGACTTCCGCTGTGTTGTGTTTTTTGTTTTGACACGGAAGCACGGGAAATCAAGTACAACAAACATGAACCCAATTACGAAAACAACGTTTAGGTCCAGCCCTGGGGTATCTCACATGGCCGACGGACACTGCGCCTGCATCGCCTCCCTCAGCTGGTTTGACGAGTTGACGTCATAGGGGCAGTCTCAAACAGGAGGCGCGGTCCCTTCCTTCATGGACAACGACATTGTCACATCGGGCCCCGTTTGGGGTTCCTCTGAGGCCACTTGGTCGCTTTTGGGGCTCTCTTGGGATGCTCTTTGGAGCCTTGGGTTCTTCGTCGGGCCCTCCTGGGCCTCCCTTGGGGCTGGGATGGGCGATGGTGAGGTCATATTGAGGCATCGAGGGCCAATCGGGAGCCACCATGCGAGCTGTACACTCATTAGTCCCAAATCGTCACACGTGATGATCTGTACAATCGTCTCTCCTTAGGAGGCTCTGGGGCTGACTTTCAGCCACCTAGGGCCATTTGGGGGCCTCTTGGGGTTATGTTATGACTTAAGGGCGCGACAAGGCGGGCAGGATGGTGACAAAAGCGAACCTGGACACCCTGCCCACTCGCGGCATTGTCTGACCCAGGAGAAGAGCCTTTGGGAAGGTGTTGTCTTAGAGAGCTGATCCACTAATCCATCTACGAACATGGCTTATGAAAATCCATTTCGATGTCGGCAAGGTCTCGTGCCTTGACGAGTTTCGTCGTCTGGTGTTGCAATCTAGGCGCAAATGAACTTGTTCCTGGCTTGGGTCCAGTTTCTTAGTTTCGATTCCTGTCCTTGGCTGTACAGTTGTTCCACATGTGCACCACAATATTTTTTATATAGATACACACACATATATGTATATATATATATACATACACATATTCTGCATTCGGTCCGGTCGCCTATCATTCTCAGCAATCTTGTCGAACCCACGGTAAGGTCACGTGTCTTCGAGCGAAGAAGTGGATGTAGAGGGTCTGCACCCGAATTCCCAGGAAGCGACGAACAGAAACCAAGAAAAGCCATACTGACAATGATGGCAAGAAAATGGGAAGGGATTGGTTTGGAAAGCCTGTCTGGAATAAGTAGGCACATGTGCAACAAGACCATCCCCTCTGAGGTCACCGGGGTCGTGCTCGAGGGCGAGGTGCTCCGGCCCAGGGTCGGCGTCGTCGTGACGCTTCCAGCCAGCGACCTGCACGCCTTCTTGCCTGAACGATGGCACCAGCGCGCGCCGTTGCCACAATTGGCTGGCCTCAAGCCCTGCGCCTACCTCTGCACCTACATCTGGTTCGACCGCAAGCTGACGGACAAGCAGTTCTGGGCCCGTACCTTCACGCGGGAGGGCCTGAACTGCGACTTCTACGATTTCAGTAACATCTTTCCAGGCTGGACCAAGCCATCCTTTATCGGAACCAACTGCATCGATTCGACGGCCGCGAGCTCTGGGGGTCAGCGTGACCATGCCATGAACGGGATGAGCGACGACGAGGTCTTCGAAAGGACGCTGGCCGAGATCCGTGAGAACATACCCTTGGCGCGCGACGCCAAGGTTCAGTATCGTTGAACCGATTCCCATCCCCATCCCGATCACGATCCCCACCATCCCGGCACCCCAGCTGGGGATGTGCCCTTCCGACCTCGAAGGGAACCGCCTGCATCCCCAGCTGGGGGACAAGTCGGCCAGGGGGGCCGGGCCACGCCAGTGGGGCTACGGTAGGTTTGCGTCGTGTCGACCAGCGGCGACCCCAGCGCGGGCGTTCAAGGTTGAACGCCGGCGGCGGCCCAGAATCGATCGATGTTGAACGATCGGACGCTGCGGCAGCGGCCGATCGTTCAAGGTTGAATGATCCCTGCGGTGTCAAAAACCAACGCTGGAGTCGGCACGACACGAACCTGCCGTAGGGATCGGCGCAACGCTGCTCGGAGGTCCTCCACTGGACGGTCAACCGCGTGCCCCAGGCCATCCACCGGCCCGTCGTCGGAACCGAGCGGCTGCGCCCCCGCGGCGGGGCCACGGGGGTCAGGGGCCTCTTCCTGGCCGGGGACTACTGCGCCACGCAGTTCCCCTGCTCCATGGAGAGCGCCGCCTGCGGCGGCTACCAGTGCGCCGAGGCCGTGCTGTCCGCGGCCGGCAGGCCGCGCGCCCTCGTGGAGGCGCGCGAGCCGCTGGACGGCGCGGCCACCCTGCTCGGCAGGCTGCTGGGGCAGGAGCGCCTGCGCCCGCTGCTGCTGGGGCTGTCGCGCCTCAACGGCGGGCAGATGGCCAAGCTCTGAGCTGGGCTGTCTCCGGGCGGCGCGCGCACAGCAGGGGCGACGTCAGGGGGAGGGGAGGGGGGGATGGGCTCCGGGGGGACGCGTCGACTCCGAGCGCCCACGGGTCGCCGACGGGGGCCAGATGGCCCACCCCGCCCAGGGCCGCAGTGCCGTGCAGCGTCGCTGTCGAGAGCCCATCGTCGATCTGTCGGCGAGGTGTTGCTAATGCCAGGACGGCGCTTTCCCCTCCTGTGCCAGGTCCCCCCCCCCTAACGTTGCGTCTCGACTCCGGAGAAGTGTTAGCCAGAGGCCACGGGGGCTGCCAGGCAGCTCTGGACTCGAGTGCTCAAGCTGTTTGTGAGGCACGGGCTCGTAGCCAGCAGGCGGAGGCGGGCTCCACTTCGGTCTCGAGTCGAGCGAGGCGAGCCTGTTAGAACTCCCAGCGGAGGGAGCCTGGTAAAGCATCCCTCAGCAAATACCCCACATTGTTACGCTCTTGGGAGGGAGTTGACTGGGAGGGATCCCTTACAGCCAGCCTGAGAGATTTGTGGTGGCACTTTCGTGATGTAGTTGGCATGGGGAGGAGGACGAGGAAGAGGATGGCCGCTTGTGTAGACATCTGCTCTGCAGCATGCCCAGCCAGCACCACTCCACCTCCGCCGTGTACATCTGTTCTGTAATCCGGTAGCATCTGCAAGGTAGCATATACCAGGTAATTCTTGACGATTCCTGTCCTGCGGCTATCGGCTGCTACCCCCCTTTTCCTCGTCGCCACAGCTACGTACAAGTCCAGCGGCTATCGGCTGCTACCCCCCTCTCCTCGTCGCCACAGCACTGGTGCCTGAGAGGCACCTCGCCGTGAGCGTCCTGGGGGTGCCCGATCCCATCCCGGACAGCGGCCGGAGAGCCGAGCCGCCATGTGGGCCGCCATAGGGTACATCGTGCAGGACTCCTCCCGTGGTCGGGAGGTGTCGTCCTCGAGGGCTCCGCTCGGGACGGCTGGGCGACCCACACGGGTCCGCCGCCGCGCGCCATCGAGAGCGTGTGGGGCCTACAGGCGCACGTCGGCCACGGGGACCCGCTCGGCCTTACAAAGGACGGGTGCGGACGTCGTCGACAGGAGGAGGCGCACCGAGATCAAGCAAGGCCGCATTGCCACGTGGGCCGCCATGGGGTACAGCGGGAAGGATATTTTCCTGTGGCCGGGAAGTGTCGCCTTCGAAGGGCCTGCCGTTACGAGGCTTCCAAGGGGCCTGAGCGCTCCGGGCAAGGTGTCTGGTGCTCCGGGCCCTTCTTATTATTCAATGCTCTGCAGTTATCGGCTGCCCCCCCACCGTCGTGGCATCTTCGCGTGTTGGGTCCTTCGGTCTCCGCCTGTTGGGCCCTTCTCTCTTTCCCTTCCCCTCCTCTGCGCCCTCCTCCTCCCCCCCCATTTGCTTCAGGTCCAGCGGCTATCGGCTGCTACCCCCCATTTCCTCGTCGCCACAGCTACATACAAGTCCAGCGGCTATCGGCTGCTACCCCCCCCTTTTCCTCGTCGCCACAGCACTGGTGCCTGAGAGGCGCGGCTATCATGGGTCCCGCCTCACGCAGGCAGTGTCAGTCGGGGCTGGCCCCATGGGACGAGGGATTCCCACTGGGCGGCTACGTTACTGACGGCCCACCCTGGGATGGGGATTGTTTCACCGCAGTGACAGGCCGCGGCCTTGGTTCCCGTGCTACCTCCTGGGAGTGAGGTACACCCCCCCACACTGCGCTAGACCCCCACGGCCGTCGTGGGTTCCTAGCCCGTGCGGTCGGCTGATATAACCCCACCCACGGTTTTTGGCCGCGTTGCGGCCCGTGGAGGACCAGGTCGACTGGCTGAAGGCTCGCCCCATGTGTCCCTGCCTGCAGATGGCTCTGGCCACGGACTTGTGCCACCTCCTGGGTTAGACACCCGCGACGTTGACGTGGGTTCCTGCTCCTGCGGTCGGCTGAAATAACCCCGCCCAGGTTCTTTGCCCGCGTTGAGTGCGGGCCGTGGTGCAGAGGCATTGGCTGAAGGCCCCCCTCGTGCTTTACCCTTTGAAGTCCATCTGTATGCTAAGTGGCTTCCCCCCATCGTCGGCGACGGAAGTGATCATCATTCTGTTGGGTCCTCGGCCGCCTGTGTCGCTCGTCCCGGGCCACGCTCGGATACCCTCGACGTCCGCAGGTCCTCAGGCCCCTGGTTCATTGGCTTCAGCCTCGAACTCAGGAGGGCTTCGCGGTGTGCGTCGAACACGTGTGGTGTTCTGTGAGTGAGGCCTGGTTCCTCCCTTCCCTTCTCTCGTCGCCGCCTCTGCTGCCTTTCTCTGCCCTTTTCTCTGGCCCGCTTCACTCGGGTCGACTCGTCCGCTCCACCTGCGGGTCCGGACTGTGTTCTTTGGGTGCCCACCTGTGGCTGCCTCTCTCCCGCTGGCACCTGCCCAGTGTTTTTGCATGGAACTGTTCTGGCTTCTGCCCTGTGGTTCGCACGGTAATTTTCTGGCAGGATACCGGTCTGGCTTCCCACCTGCGGGTCCGGCCTGTGTTCCTTGGTTGCCCACCTGTGGCCGCCTCTCTTCTTAATTTGTTTGCATGTGCATTCCGCGCGTTCTCGCGCTAATTATCGTGCGCTGTGCTCCAGCCTCGTTCACACCGCCCTCTGGACTTTTCCTTGCGGGCCGCGAATCAAAAAAAGTGTCCCCACCAGCCGTGTCTGTGTTCGACTCTTGCATTCGACCCCTTGGACGGCGCGCAGCCATCTGCGTCGCTTGCGAGCAAAAATGTGTCCCCGCCAGCCCATCCAGAAACGATACCCAGGCGAGTTGCTTCTCAGAGTCTACTCGGATGTCTCTTAGAAGAATTTTGTAGGCCTCTTGGAGCGTCTTGGGTGCCTCTTGGCTGTCCAGGGGGCCTCTTGGAGCGTTTTGGGTACCTCGGGGAGCCTCTTTGGGCCTCTTGGGGGTTTCTTGGGAGCCTCTTGGAGGCCTCTTGGGCGCCTCTTGGGGCCTCCTGGGCGCCTCTTGGGGCCCTCTTGAGGCGCTCTTGGGAGCCTTGGGAGCGCTCGTGGGGCCATCTTGGCGGAGATCGATCAAACAATGGGGGGGGCCTCAATTCCGCCCCCTCCCCTCGGGAGTCCCAGACATCGCCTCTTGGGCCCCTCCTGGGGCGTTCTTGGGCGCTCTTGGGGCCGTCTTGGGGCTCTCTTGGGCTTCTCTTGGGGCCGTCAGGGGGCTTCTTGGAGCTGTCTTGAGGCCTCGGGAGGCCATCGGAAGCGAAAAGGCGAGAAGGCAAACATCATTGATTTTCCGAGGGTTTTTGAATGAGTTTGGCCTCTTGGCGGCCGCCTTGGGAGGCTCCGTGGCCACCCGGGGCCGTCTTGGAGCCGTCTTGGGGCCTGTTGGAGCGTTTTGGGAGCCATATTGAGCCATCTTGGGCCATCTTGAGCCATCTTGGAGGTCATCTTGGGCTCTCCGAGGCGCTCCTAGAGCCATCTTGGGCCATTTTGGACGGTCCAACGCTTCGCGACAATCCCCCTCCAGGTCCAGGGGAGGGGGTAGGGGGAGGGGTCAAGCTACCCACCCGCCCGCAAGCCGTCTAGCTCACTCCCACCCGCCCTCCCAACACATTAGTAGTAACACCCGAGCCTGAGCATGTTCAGCGGTCGTCTTCGGATGGACAGCTACTGGAAACCAAAGCCGACCCCAGGTGCGCGACGCTTGGGCGAGGTACACCACGCGAGCCAGGGCCGCCACGTGCGCCAGGCACCCCTGGGGTCCGAGCGTGCCAGTCACGCCTGGTGCGCCAGATGACCCACGTGCTCCGAGTGCGCCAAGTGTGCCGCATAATCTCGCCGCGCCAGGAGCGCCACGTTCGGGGCACGTGCACAGTGCGTCAGGTGCGCCTGCGCACGTGACAGTACACATCGGGAAACATGTCGGCCCCCACCACCCTTGTCGAGAGCCAATGCCCATCATTGTGTCTGGTGGGCCTGCGCACAGCAGGCCATGCGTCACCACTTGACGGTGATCGCGGGATGGCCGTGCATGATCCAGATTGAGCCGCGAGGTGTATTGTGTGTTTTTTTTTTTTTTTTTTGTCAGGGATGGTAGTCCTGCGTGCAGCAGCGAATATGCTGACACCCCCGCCGTCCCTGTCAACAAACAATTCAAAGTGCTCGCGGGCCTCACGAACATGATTCCAGAATTTGCCCAAAGTGTACTTTGTATTGTTTTCTTGACAGGGATGGAGGGGGGGTGGCCTTCATGGGGTCCTCATTGTTCCTGGCTAGCTGCCGGTCGCCTGGTTGAAGGGGGCGTAAGTTAATAGGGAACAGTGATAAACCCTTCCCCGAAGGGGAAGAGGGAGGGGTTGGAAGAGAACCCGCCCTAGACCACCTACGCCCAAAAGGGCTGTTGGGATACGTACCAGGCATGTGAGCAGGATCTGGCATCTTCTGGCAAGCACGACAGCGCGTTCCAGCCAGGGAAGACAGCAGACGAGTCGCAGCACGAGAGGCTGGCATGGCTTTGTCGGCGGGCCTCGGCATGGATGGAGTGGTCTGGGCAGTTATCGGCCCGAAACATGTGACGGCACCTTCACAGCAATCAAGCGAACTGCAGGGGATCCCCTTCGTGCCTCAGGGGTTTACCCGCTTGATCAAATTCTCGAGTTCAGGAGGAGGAGGAGGAGGAGTGTTTTGGAGGATGAGGAGGAGGAGGAGGAGGAGGAGGAGGAGGAGAGGAGGAGGAGGAGAGGAGGAGGAGGAGGAGGAGGGAGGAGGAGGAGGAGGAGGAGGAGGAGGAGGAGGAGGAGGAGGTTGCTGTGATGCCGCAGCCATTTTGGGTTCAGGGTTTTACCAGCTTGCGTAGATTCTCGAGGAGCAGACCCTCTTGGCGCGGCCGACCAGGGCGGTGCAGGTTGACATGTCGGGGCATCGTACGCTTCTCTGACTCCAGAACCTTCTTGGCTTTCTCGCAATTCAGGAGCGAAAGAAGGACGTACGCGTACATGAATCCACGCTGATTCGAGAGTTCGCATTGCGCGAAAATTCGTATCACGCGGCAGGGCTCGCGGGTCAAGGGGCCGTGTTCATGTACATAACTGGGCGCGTACGTCTTCTGTGGGCTCCCTGGTAATGCCTGTCTCCCTTAGTCGGGGCTGGGTGCCTGGGTCGGGGATTCCTCTTCGCTTCGTCGTCGCCGCCTCCGTGGGCCCAGCCTGGGGCTTGACGGCCGTCATATTCTGTCCCCCCTGCCGTCTCCGCGCAGAGGGACCACCCAACCCGTCTCCAGCATGCATTGACAGCGCCTTCACGGCGCCTGCGGCAAGCTCCAAGATACGCGCAGGTATTGTTCAACGCAGAGTGGGCGGGTCGCAGGAGAGAGTCGTTGGCGGTCGCAGGCGGGTCGCGCGGAGTGGTGGGCAGGGCATTTGCTTTCCCTCAAGCAGCGGGCGCCGATTT